TGAAGGGGAAAAATAGAACAAAATAAAAATGAAACATGGACCCAGGGGACCATGGTATTAATTGTATCAATCTATTTTTGTGGACCTGAAATCCAACTTAAAAACAAAAATGATTGCATATTTCTCATATCATGGAATATAATTCTAACCTTGTCTGCATTGGTGTATTTAACATCGGAAGTAGAATTCAGTCTTGAGTAGCAGATTTCAAAAAGCATGGACAATTTGATCTCTCTTTCTATGAGTCTATTTTTGTTTTTCAGATTCCATATATAAGTGAAATCATATGGTATTTATCTTTCTCAACTGATGGTTGCCAGAGGGGAGGGGTAGGGAGAGGTGAAAAAGATCAAGAGGGACATAGTCAATAATATTGTGATAACTTAGCACAGGGACAGATGACTACTAGACTTAGTGTGGTGATTACATCGTAAGGCATATAAATGTGGAATCACTATATTGTACCTGAAACTAATATAATATGGTACACCAACTGAACTTAAATCAATTTTGAAAAGGAATTGACAAACCCTATTGTGTTTGGAGGAGAGCAGTCAGGACAGTGGAGGGGCATGTAAGGGGAACGTCATATGATAGATAACTGAAGGGAAGGAGACTTAGAAACCATATACTTTTAGGAAAAGGAGACCTTAGAAATCATCTTGTTCACTTTCCCAGCATTTCACTTAAACTAGTGAAGACATGAGAACTGGGAGGTCAAGTGACTTGTCCACAATCAAAGGTCAGCTAGAAATGACAGTTCTTTTCATATGTTGGAAAAATCGTCATATGGAAGAAGAATTAGACTATTCAGAGAGAAGAACCAGGATGAAAATAGGCAAGTTTCAGGAAGGAGGATTTTAATGTGCAATAACTTTCCGCCTGGAGCTTTTTAACAATGGAACATGTCTAGCTGCGGTGGGAGAGAATTTCAGGGGAGGCTTGTAGGATGCTTAACCAGGGAGTAGGAGAAAGTGGTGGGATTTTGGGGAGGGGACAATAAATGATACCTGCTCTTCTCCTGAGTTTGGAAACAGTTTTGACATAGACAGAAGTCATAAAGGTGGGAAAGCGGGGTTAGCTCTATTATTGTTGAAACTGATTGGCAAATGTGGCGTTAGGTGAGCTGATGCATGATTAGCACTCAGGACCATCGCTGGCACTTAGCAAACAGCCAATAAATGTTGGCTACTAGTGTTGTTATAATGACGATGAAGTAAGGCGGAAAGAAAGAGGAGAAAGGGGAAAAGGAGGAGGCAATCCCAGGACCTGTGCCCAGTGTTACAGGGTGTGGGACTGAGCCATGGAAGGGTTACAGAAGGTTACAGAATGTGCTAAGGGGAGGAAATGAAACATGAGAAACTGAATGTGCTGGGAGGGGGGACTGACGCATGGAGAGGGATTGTGTCAGGATATGGAGAAGGATTGTGTCAGGGTTAGAAGCCATGGGAGAAAAATTGCTAGATTGTCTTAGAAAAACAATATGTTATGATATGCTCCAGCCAGGTGTGACTCCGTTTACCTCCCCTTTGTGCTTATGAAATTTCTGTGACCTTCTAAGGTAACACTGTTTTGCTATAAAGGATCATACTGCACCCTTGATCTCTGCCACATGCTCCGAAGCTCCCAGAGGGGGAGATAGGCGCCGTGGTCAGCTGGCCAGCTTAATAAAGGCTCTTAAATTTAAATTCTGAGTCGGTGGTCTATCTCGTTGAGCCAACCCATAACACCCAGTAAGAGGACATCCCGCTCTTGTGAGCAGGATGAGTAGACAAGAACATGTGCATCTTACAGACAGGCTGGTCCCAAGAAAGAGAGCTCAGAAGGAACTGAATTGGACTTGTTCAGCTCATCTTCCAAATTCACAAAACAGCCCATGCACTCTTCCTCATGAGGTAGAGTGAGTGAGGGATGAGGTGTCAGGACCCGGCAGGAATGTTATTCAAGCCCCAGTAGATCACGTGCTTGTCTTCCTATTGAATAACATTTCAATTGCTTCTATTCCTTGTATCTCCCACTGGGTGGCACACTCTAACACTTAGTAGGAACGTGATAACTATTTGTTGAATGAGTGAAACACTGAGTAGAACTAGGCATCTTCTGTGAAATAAACTTACTGCAGTTAACTTTGATTAGAATCTGTCATCAGCCCACACTGGGTTTCCTTATGTCTAAGGGGAGGGTTCAACTCTCCTACCAGTCTGTAATTGTTGTAGACTAACGAGAATCCAGGCGGTTTCAGCAAGTCTGTGACTAAGTTCTCATCTTTTAGATGCAAGAGAAGTGGTGTTGTGGATGGATGTGGGGGGTGGACTGTAGCATTGCCACAGCTCCCTCTTGTGGTTGCTGTATGGAATCCTTCACAAAATCCTTTCTGTGAAGAATGTGCGATAACTTTCCCATTGGAACTTTTTCACAATGGAACGTGCATAACTGCTGTGGGAGAGAATTTGAGGGGAGGCTTGTAGGATGCTTAACCAGGGAGTTAGAGAAAGGGGTGGGCCTCTAAGTTGGTGGTTCTATATAGATCTCAACCAAGATTTCATTTGGGTTTGAGGTAGGGTTTGGACATCAATATTTTTAAAAAGTTATATGGCAACTCTAATATTTAGATAACCTTGGGAATATTGGCAGGTGTAAGCCATGCCCCTTCCTCTCTCTAAACATATCCTCAGGTGTGGATTTAAAAAATGTTATTTTTGGCCTGGCAGGTGTGGCTCAGTGGTTGAGCATTGACCTATAAAACAAGAAGTCATGGTTTGATTCCCAGTCAAAGCACATGCCCGGGTTGTGGGATTAATCCTCCAGTGTGGGGCGTGCAGGAGGCAGCCGATCAGTGATTCTCTCTCATCATTGATGTTTCTATCTCTCTCTCCCATCCTTCCTCTCTGAAATCAATAAAAAAAATATGTATTTTTTAAAAATGTGATGTTTGAGAGCTCTACCTGTTGGTATATAGAAGTATAGTTAGTCTACACAAAGATCACTAGGTAGTATGGTTTTAGATTCAAGATTCTCAGTCAGTGGGAAGATTTCCCCCACCAGGAAACATTTGGCAATGGCTGGAGACATTTTTAAAAAATATATATATTTTATTGATTTTTTACAGAGAGGAAGGAAGAAGGATAGAGAGTTAGAAATGTTGATGAGAGAGAAACATCGATCAGCTGCCTCCTGCACACCCCTACTAGGGATGTGCCCGCAACCAAGGCACATGCCCTTGACCGGAATTGAACCTGAGACCCTTGAGTCCACAGGCCAACGCTCTATCCACTGAGTCAAACCAGTAAGGGCTGGAGACATTTTTGATTGTCTTGATCAGGGACAGGGGATGTGCTACTGGCATCTGCTAAACATCATGCAATGCATGGGGCAGCCATGAAAACAATTATCTGGACCAAAATGTCCACACTGCTGCAGCTGAGAAACCTGCTCTGCGTTGCTCCACAGGGGGAATTGGAGAAGTCTGGGAAAGGCAATTCCTCTGGCAGTGACAGAAGTTAAACAATCCTTTCAACACAGTTCTCTTTTCCATGTGGAAGGGGGCTCCTGACTTTGGTGAGGAGGGCACATCCCCTAGGGAAGGGACCATCTCACCACTCATCCAGTCAAAGCAGCCACCTCCAGTATTACATCACTACAGCGACAGAGACACAGGGCCATGCGGCACGCCTGGCCATACTACTGGGTCATGAATCCTGTCGGCATCACAAGACACGAGTACAATTTCCTGGATGAACTGTCTGTATTTTCTTCCTTTCCTGGAGGTAGAAACAAGAACTGCAGGAAGAGAAGTCACTTACTGTAATGGGTGGTTTCTCAGTCAGCGTTTGCACCCTTTACCAATCACATCTGGGTTATTTAACTAGAGAAAGTGTCCTTCAAGAGGCTTGAGATCGTGCAAGGTTGTACTGCAGAACAGCAGTCCCTTCAGATGAAAAATGAGTCTTTTCCTCCTGAGTTCTCCAGAATTCAGATGTGCTTATTCAGAAAACAACATTAGAGAAGAAACACGGGGAAATCAGACTCTGAAGTATCAGTTTTACTTTTATTTTTTAAGCCCAAGGAAAAGGAACGCTCCAGCTCGCCTTTGGGGAACACGGAGGGGTGTCTGCTTTCCCAGTCATTGGAAGGGTGGCGCAAAGACTCCAAGACACGGCCCCTCTCCCCAGTGAGGTGTTGATCTGAGACAGGAAACTCTGAGGGATTAGCCTCTCCTTTCCCCCTTTGCTCCTGCCCTTCCAGCATAGAATTTAGCCGCAGGAAAAAGCCAAGTGCTGAAAACGAACCTGCTGGGACAACCTGAGTTGTAAAGGAGAGATTGCTCAGACAGCCCGAGGTTAGACAAAGGTGATGTCGTGAACACTTTTTTGTTTTGTTTTTGCCCGCCCAGCATTGAATTCCACTGCTTATGTTTGGGGAATTTGCTGACTCATAAGAGGCAGATCCCACCTATGACTGTACAAGGAGAAGATGGCAGGTATTCAACTCCCAGCCTCCCTTGGAGTGGAACATGGGAGAGTGGCCTGTGATTGGCCACCCGGGCTCGGGCTCTGGATTAGAAAATAGAGGCGGAGAGGTGAATAAGGGCCCTGGAGCAGTCACTGTGGTTCAGCCAGAGCCAACAGCAGAAGGAGTTTCCAATCCAGCGGCGGCAGGAGGTAGGGGGGGGGTGGTGGAGCCCAACTGGTGCTCAGCATTGCCACCCCTGAGCTGGGTTTGTGATCTGGGCTGTGGCTCTGGCCACAGACGATGTCTTCCTGCTTCCTGCTCCTTTTCAAAGCATGGCTTTACAGAAGCCCCTGCGATATCTTTTCAGTAGAATCCTTGTCTACATTAAAAAAATGAAATAAAATCCAGCCCTAGCCGGTTTGGCTCAGTGGGTAGAGCGTCGGCCTGCGGACTGAAGGGTCCCGGGTTTGATTCCGGTCAAGGGCACGTGCCCGGGAGGCAGCCAATCAGTGATTCTCTCTCATCATTGATGTTTTTTTTTTCTCTCTCTCCCTCTCCGTTCCTCTCTGAAATTAATAAAAATATATTAAAACAAAATCCAGACCAGTTTCTGTTGATCACAGCTAAGAACTCTTACCAAAATCGCTACCAGGGAATGAGCTACACCGAGCAACAGAACTAACGTCCGAATGGACTGAACAGAGGCGGTACAAGGTGACAAGGACCTCAGCGTTCTGAGCCGGGACGTTGGGACCCTCGTGACATGGTTGAAAGACAGCCAGCCGGTGCTTTCTTAGTGTCATACAAGCGCCTGTCGGAAAGAGGAAGGGCTTCCGTTGAGGAAGGAATGTCTGAAAGCAAGAGAATAGGAAGAAAATAGGACTTTATGAAAGAAGCTCTCTGTCTGCAGCCTGCAATTTATTAAGCATTCAATTCCTTGAAACTGTGGGGCTGAAATATGTTAATTTTCTACTTCAGGATAGATTCAGCGCAAGGGGTTAGGAAGTTCCTGCTAGAGGCTCTGGTGATGCGAGGCCGCGGACGTAAAACGAGTTCAGAATAATGTTGACAAGCCTTAGCTGAAGCTCCAGATTTGTTGCTCAACGGAGCAAACAGAGAACTAGAATTTAAAAATAATTTGGGGAAGTGAAAAATCACCCTAAAATAAGTTCTGATGACCACAAATTCCTTTGTAACGGCATCATCAAATACAAATACTCGCCACTTTCTTTAAATCTGAGCACCCACCTTTTGCACATTCTTAAAACTATGCTTTTTAAGAATCTTAGATGATTTTCATTCCATTATTCAAAGCTCCGGAGACCTCAAAGCCATGTTGCCAGTTTATTGACTCTTTAGCTTCTTTTGTCACAGTGTTTTACATAGAATAAGGAACTCATCCTTCATTGCTCATCCAGAGAGAGGACCTGGGGGCACAGAGCCTGGAGCAGGCCTGCCTGGTGACCGGGAGCAGCTCCCAGAACCAAGAACAGGCAGCCAGAGTGGAACCGGTTCCGGGCTCTGCTGCTGGCCAGCGCCTGAGCTCCGAGCTCTATCTGCGGGCTTTCTGCCCTTGGCTTTCCTTATCCACTCCCACTACAGACACGGAAACCTGTCCTGGGCCTGTGCCCTGCACAGCAGGCTAAGTGCGCGGGAAACTTCCCTTGCTTGTCCCTGTCACGGGTGGGTGTGGAAGCGACATCCCCAGGGAGCTGATCCGAGGAGTGCAGGTGTGTAGAGTATCATAAGAACTTGAGGCCTGGGGCCAAGTTCAGTGTTTCTTTTGGCTCCTCCGGCCTCCTTCCGCCAGCCCTTCGCCGGGTCTGTGGTGTCAGCTCTCTGGCAGTGTCACACTGGCGTAGACGGTGATGGAGCTCGGCTCCTGGGGGCAAAACAGAGGGCGTCTGTGAGTGGGGGGACGGGCTCTAGCTTCACAGGAATGAAGAGAAACAGCCCTGCTTAGGAAAAGGGAGGGGCCTCAGAAATCTTGTAGGACAGAGACTGGCTCAGGCAGGGCCTGTCTGTCAAGGTCAGGCACCGCTGTCGGAGGTGGCACTCAGCCCCAGCTGTCTGTCCCGCCCGCAAGATGGACCAGGGCTCTTTCCAAGCGGACGCCTGCCCTCAGGAGACGGGGAGACCTGTCCCGGGGATCTGAGGGCCAGAACCCGGCACCCTCCCCTCCTTGCTCTCTTCCCTTCTCCTGACTTAGAAGGAGAAGGAAACTATTTGTCTTGCTCTCAGGGGGCACAGTTTGGAGAACCTAAGAGAATTCCAAATTCCTGAGCTTTACAAAGAGTTAGTGGTTCAGGCAGGAGAGACGCAGGGGGAGGAGGTGAGGATTTGGGGCAAAGACCTTGTACAGAGAGAGGAGATTCAAGCGTCCGAGAAAGAAAGGGACAGAAATGAGAAGAATCAGGAGGTTTTTCTAGGAAATGTGAAATACACTGTTTTTCTTTCCCCAGAGAACTTCATGATAAATCTACATGATTTTGTAAAGATTTTGAAGTCAGAGCATGTGTACAGTGAGAGCTTCGGAGAAGAGGGGTAAATGTAGGCGTGTCTGTGGCCTTTTAACCCTCACCGTCTCCTAAACTGCTTTATTTAATAGAGCACAGCCAGAGCCAAGGTTTCAGCCCAGAATTGATTTCTGTCCATTTAGTAAAAGGAGAGCTTGCTGTCCAGTGAAACGAATCCCAGGCGGATTTTGCGACGGGGTAGCATGGGCGAGGCTCATTCTGGGCTGCGCGTCACATTCTGTTCTGGGTTCCATATGGACGCAGCGCTCAGGCACTAAATATTCTGATTAAATAGGGCGGGACGGAGCCCAGACACAGGCATTTTACAGATGGTTCTGTTACGCAGCTGGACTTGAGGACTCCTGGACTTAAACCACAATCCTCAAACTTAAAAAAAAAAATTCCTTTATTGATTTCAGAGAGGAAGGAAGTGGTAGAGAGAGATAGAAACATCAATGATGAGAGAGAATCATTGATCACCTGCCTCCTGCATGCCCCCCACTGGGGATTGAGCCCTCAACCCGGGCATGTGCCCTTGGCCAGAATCGAACCTGGGACCCTTCAGTCTGCAGGCCGACGCTCTATCCACTGAGCAACACTGGCTAGGGCGCAATCCCCAAACTTAAAAGTGCGTCTGGATCCCCGGGGGATGTTGTTTTTAGATGTGTAGCTGCCTGGTCGCTTGCCATAGGCATTCTGATTGAACCGAATCCTGGGTGGAAAACTCCAGGAATCTTTATTTTTTATCAAAGATACAGCGGATTCTGAGAAACACTAGGGAGCAGAGGAAGCTATGACCCACGTGAGCAGCAGCCAGGAGGGGTTCCCGGAAGCCCTGCAACCAAGGCCGCAACCGCTCCTTGCTACCTTCTTATGAGGGCCTGCTTTTCCATTGCAGGCCTCTGTTTCATTTCAGCTCTGCAGGCGTCCCACCCCTTCCTCTCCTCCGATTCCCTCTCTGCAGAGATCCTCACCTGAACAGGCTCTGGGACAGGCTCTGTGGCAGCCACGTAAATGGTGGTGCAGGGGTCCTGAGCTGGCAGGGGATTAGGTTTCTTCTGAACAGACTAGAGAGAAGCAAATAAAGCAGGAAGTTAGCTGAATGCAAAGTTATTTCTCATCCATGGAGTCATCATTCAGTTATTCCCCACTGAGAAGCACAGACTCAAAGAGCTTTGAGTTAGAAAACTCCTGAGAATAATCTGGTCCAGCCTCCTTCCCAGGTGGAAATTCTCCCCCAAATTCCCTGGAACTCAAACCTTGGGGCTTTGTCTGCACTCCACAGTGACATCTTAGCGCTCACAACCTCATGAGCCAGCCTAACTCATCATTTGTGCTTCCCAGAAGTGCGAAAGGCCTTCCTTACAGCGAGCCAAGATCGGTGTGGCCCTCTCTGGGACACCTGAAGAGAAGGCCGTCTCATGGTATTTGAGCCTGGCTCATATCATCCACTACACGCAGACTTCATGCCATCCCCACACTCTAACACGCCTTTTCCCTACTTCTGTTTCCTGTATGAAATATGGAACTTAATAATAACCACATACATGTGTGTTAAAGTTTATCAAGTTCTTCACATGTCTTTTCATTTGTCTCCCAACCACTCTGTATGCTAAATACGGTTGTCACTCACATTTCGCAGATGAACAAGCCAAAGCCCAGAACGGTTTAGTACTTTCCTGATGTGTACAATGCAAGAAGGACTGAAGCCAGGAATCCCCCAAGCACTTGTCCATCAGACCCTTCTCCTTTGGTCGCCCAACTTAAAATGACCTCTCCTTTACCTAAATTCCTCGGTTATTTAAAATCTACTCCACACACTATGTCACTTAACTGTATGCTGAATTTAACACGCTCGTATTTAAACATTGTTTCTCCAAATAGATGGCCAATTCCTTGAGAAATCGGCTATATTTCTTTGCATTCCCCACAAAACAGCGCTGGTGTCACTTTGACTGAAGTACAATCTACAACACCAGGATGAAGTCAGTGGCAGGGTACATTGTGGCCACACCCTGTAAGATGGAGAGGACGTATTTTATGCCAGGGAAGTCACCCGTTCAGCAAGGATGTAGGGCACTCTGGTGTAGACTAATGCTACTCTCCACTTTTTAAAAAAAATATATTTTATTGATTTTTTATGGAGAGGAAGGGAGAGGGATAGTTAGAAACATCGATCAGCTGCCTCCTGCACACCTCCTACTGGGGATGTGCCAGCAACCAAGGTACATGCCCTTGACCGGAGTCGAACCTGGGACCCTTGAGTCCGCAGGCTGACACTCTATCCACTGAGCCAAACCGGTTAGGGCAACTACTCTCCACTTTTCCTGATATAGAGCAAGGTTCGAAACTGAAGTACATGGTTTCTAATGGGAGAGAACTTAGAATCTTGTCACCTTAGGGGAGAGGTAAGGAACTGGAAAAGGTTCCTGACGGAGAAAAGGTTCCAGGTAGAACATGATCTTTCTCTTCATGTGTTTTGATGAGCTGCCATGTAGAAGAGAAATCGGGTTTGTCATGTAGAGTCCTTCAGGTTTAAACCCAGGTTGGAATTTTAGGGAAATCTTTTGTGCGATGTAATAAAGATTTTTCTAAAATGAAAGGTGCTCAAATGTGGGATGAATTGCATTGGGAGGCAATTGCATTGAAAATGCCTGGGTGGCTCAGGGCTTCTCATACTTCAATGTACCTATGATTTACCTGGGGATTTTCTTTCTTTTTTTATTGATTTCAGAGAAGAAGGGAGAGGGAGAGAGAGATAGAAATATCAATGATGAGAGAGAATCATTGATTGGCTGCTTCCTCTGTATACTAAATACGGTTGTTTTAAGTCACCAAGTTTGTAGTTGTTACAGTAGCACTAGGAAACCAACACACCCTAGCTTATTTTGTGAGGTTAGCATACTCTTTGATAACAAAACCATTACAAGAAAGAAAAAAAACACAGACCAATTTCATTCAGAAACATAAACAGAAAAAAATCCGAAAGTATTAACAAATAAAATCTGGCAAAAAGGACCAGACTAAATTGCTTCTATTCCAGGAATACAAAGTTGGTTTAATCTTTTGCAAATGGGTGTAGTTCAGTAGATAAATACAAAAGATAAATTTTTCAAAATCATAAGATTATATCAACAGGTGCAGAGTGTTGATAAAATTCAACATCAATTAATTCTTGATAAAATGTCTAAGCAGACCAGGATTAGAAGAGAATATTTTTTGTTCTTATTTTTTAGTTTGTATTAATTTTAAAATTAATATTCAATGTAGTCAAGTTAAATCCAAATGCCTCCTTAAGAAAGAAAGTCCAGGCTTATAAATCTTATTTTATTCAAACAAATTTTAATAATTTCTGGGAAATTATACTCTTCAAAGATTTTAAACTACATTGAGAAATTTTCAGTGCTTCATTCTCTTCAGAGTATTCAATTGTCTAACAACTTAACTTAGACTTTTAATTTGAAATGTCAATGTGACTAGTTCTTCATGTCTTTCATGTTCCCACACTTGCAAACGTAAGACTAAACCTCTTATTCAATTACCTATTTTAAATTTAAGCACATGGATAATATTTCTCTCTCATGGGCAACATTTTTATACATTTTAATTATTGCTAATATTTAAAATAGCAAATGTACATAGATTGGTCTTAAATAAGTGCTTGACTTACTATATAATTTTTTACATAGTTTGAAGAGAAATTCTTTTGTGTTGTTGATAATCCTCACCAGAAGATATCTTTTCCATTGATTTTAGAGAGAGTGGAGCATGGGAGTGAGGAAGGGAGGGAGAGAGAGAGAGAGAGAGGGAGAGAGAGAGAGAGAGAGAGAGAGAAACATCGATGTAAGAAAGACACAGATTGGTTGCCTCCTGCACATGCCCCGATTGGGGCCAGGACTCAAAGTTGCAACCCAGGTATGTGCCTTTGACTGGAAATCGAACCAGAGACCCTTCAGTTTGTGGCTGATACTCTAACCACTGAGAACACTAGCCAGGGTGAAGAGAATATTCTTAATCAGATAAAAAGACAGTTATAAACAATGTTCAGCAAAAATCATATTTAATGGTAAGATATATGGTAAGATATTGAACATTTTTCTTTTGAGTTTGGGACCATGCAAGGATACCATTGTTATCACTTCCATTTAGCATTGTGTGGGATGTCTCAGCCAATAAAACAGGGCAAGAAAAAGAAAGTTATGTGAATTGAAAATGAAAAATAAAAACTATAATTTTTTTATAGGTGGCACAATTGTGTACAGAAAAAAGTTCCAAAATCATCTATAGATAAATGTCTGCAGATTATAAATGATTTAGCAATGTTGCAAATATAAGGTTAATATATAACAATTAATTGTATTCCTATATATCAGTAATAAATAGAAACTAAAAATTTTTTTAAAGATAACATTGCTGATAGTATCCCAAAACATTAAATGCTCAAATGCCAAATAACAGATTATGAAGAATGTACAACTACTCTCATGCAAAAAGTTATAAAACATCACTTACAGAAATCAAGACTGAAATAAAGAAAAGTCTATATCATCTTTTTAGTTTAATGACTTAGCTCTATAAATATGTTTGGTCTCCTCAAATTGATCAATGGAGTACTAATTAAAATTCCAGCAGGATTCTTAGGTGGAACTCAACAAACTGAATTAAAAAAATATATAGACACAGACAACAGCGTGGTGATAGCCAGAGTGAAAGGGGTTGTGGGGTAGGTGGAGGTGGGCAAAGGGCAGGGGAAATGGGGAAGAAATAAGACTTTGCTTGGGGCAGTGGGTGCACGATGCAGTGTGCAGATGATGTTTCATTGAGCTTGAAACCTGTATGACTTTGTGAACCAATGCCACGCCAATAAATTCAACTAAAAAATAAAATAAAATAAATAGTAAAAAAACTGAAAAAGACCTAAAATAGCCAAGAGCTCTTGCAGAAGAACAAGTGAAAAAAATCATTTTACCAGATCTCAAACTTATGATGAATCAGTAATCACAGATTTGTAAAGATGGTGCAGGACTTGTGCACGTATAAACAAATAGACCAATGGAGCAGAATAGACAACCTCAGAATAGATTCACAGATATATGGCCCTTGGTCTATGACGAAGGTGGCACTGGAGCCCTCCCTCCCTGCCCTGATCATGCACCAGTAGGGTCTCTTGGCTGGCCTGTGCCCTCTAGCAATCCGGGACCCCTCTGGGGATGTCGGAGAGCTGGTTTCAGCCTGATCCCTGCAGGCCAGGCTGAGGGACCCCACCCATGCACAAATCCGTGCATTGGGCCTCTAGTAATATCATTATAGCTAATCATACTCCCTTAGCCTCCCTCTTAATATCTGCTCAACGTATCTGATAGAAAAGTAAGTTGTTACACCCACTTTGAAAAAAGTTTGGCCTTATCTAGTAAATTTGAAGATATGTATACTCTATGATTCAGCAATTCTACTTCTAGGTGTATACCATACAAAAATACGTGCACATGTCTACCAAGGGAGAGACATATGTATGAGTGTTCATAGTGCCATTTTTATAGTAGCCTCACACTGGAAATAGTTCAAATGTTCATCAATAGTCAATGGATAAATAACTAGTATAGTCATGCATTGACATCTATAAAACAAGGAAAATGAATGTATTATATCTAAGCTCAAAGACATGTATGAATATCATAAAGGTAATATTGAGCAAAAGAAATCAAACAGGAGGAAAGATACTGTAGGATTCCATTTTCATAAAATCAAGAGAAAAAGAGAGAAAACGAAATTATAGTTTTAGAAGCCAGGATAGTGCTATCTTAGGGGAGGAGTGAGAAGTTAGTGATTGCGAGAAGCACCAGGAGGGCCAGGGGTTGCTGCCAATGTTCTGTTCCTTTATCTGAGTAATAGTTTTATGGTATTAGGGAGACTCGATACTGCAGGATATAATTTCTCCTCAAATAGATCTGTAGATTCAATGCAATCCTGGTAGGATTTTTTCCCCTTTTTGTGATACTTGAGAAGCTGATTCTAAAATACATACAAATGGTCAGAAACTCTTAAAGAAAAACAAGGCAGGAGGATTTGCTTTCCTAGATATTAAGATGGGTAACTCACTGAGCTGACACATACACTGTGCACTGTTGGTATCTATGCCATGGTTTATACAGTAAAAAGAGGGGTGCTTACTGCACGGAATAGATAGGGAAGGTACCATGATAAAGCTGAACCTGGTTACCTAAATGTATAAATGCAAGAGTGGAGGTTGCTCTTGGGACTCTAATATATTTAAATGGAGGATGGTTCTCAGTGGTTGTCATGGGCTGTGTAATAAACCCTCCGGGCCACCAGAGGACAGCAGAAACAAGAGCTTTGTCCAAAAGTTCATCTCTGGTTATCAGAACTGCATTTATTGTCATCTGATGCTATTTCCCAACGTACTAATCAAAGATCTCTTTGCCTTTATATCCCTTACTCCAGAATTTGCTTTCTGGTAAACTCTGAATGGCCAGATACTGGCTTATCACCTAGAATTGTTTTCATGTCTGAAAAACTATAATATCATAATAGCTAATCATAATCCCTATAATCCTCCTCTTAACACCTGCTCAATGTCATCATAACTCTAATTTCTTTATCCCTCTCTGCTGTCTCAGTCCAACCATCACAATTTTGCTTTCTTTCATTTTCAGCCTATGTAGCATCGTCCATCTCTTCACCACTGTCGAGCCAGAATCCTCAAGATCTCCCTTCCTTGGCACTTTGGCACTTTGCAAACTTCTAAAGGCGGACCAGTCCAACCTGTCGCACAATTGCCTTCCTAAACCTGCACCTTTTTCCCTAGAAAAGGAGAGAGTTTCATAACCTGGGGCAGTAGGCTCCTAGAATGCGTGCGAGCTGGAAGGAGTCACACGGCATGTCTTTCTAACTTCCCTTTTTTTTCCTGTGAAGAAACAGATGACCAGAAGATTACCCGGTATTTTCTGTTATTACGCTAACAAATAGTCCCATCTGACACTGAAGCTAATATCTTTTCAGCTCTTGACTTCTGCTCCCTTAACTTCCCCTGCTTCAGAACCCATAGAGGACCGTGAATGTCAGAAATGCATGGTGAACTGGCAGGAAGCCGTAGGAAACACCCCAGAAAGAAAAAGTATACAACTTACACCTGATTTCTGGACTTGGGCATAGATAGTAAGGCTTTTTTCTTCCACTGTTGGCTCGTAATGGTCTGTCTTACCTGGAGAAAAGGAACCGTAGTTATCTCCCTCTGGTCCCCAGCATGAACCCCTGCCCCCCTGCAATTGTGTACCAATGTTCCCTAAGAGCACCATGGGAACAAAGCACGAACCCCCGGCATGAACCCCGCCCCCCCCCCGGGCCCCCCCTCCCCAGGACACCTGTCATATGGCATTAGGTTAGTTACTGGAACGCCCTGGGCCTATTTTCCTGTCTGTGAAATGGGTTGAAACACCTGCCTCACAGGGCTGTTGCGATGAAAACATGAGACATGACTTGTGAAGTGTTTAGAATAGTGCCTGGCAAATAGTAAATTCCCAGTTGACATTAAGTGTCATAAATTATTTTAATCTTTATCTTTTGATGTATCTGGTTTTTAAATAGGATCCTAAGTTTTTAAAGGGCAGAGTGAGTTATTGTGATGCCTTTTATTCTTGTATTCTTCAGCTCATAACCTTCTGCTTCACTCACAGCTTCCTTGCCTCCCTGTTCCAGTGGGACTTGATATGCATGTGAAGGGGAGGGACTATGAGAAGGATAGTGCTCCTGAGAGTCCTTAGAAAATAAAATTATAATGTCATTCTATTCCAGGGGTGGGCAAACTTTTTGACTCGAGGGCCACAATGGGTTCTTAAACTGGACCGGAGGGCCGGAACAAAAGCATGGATGGAGTGTTTGTGTGAACTAATATAAATTCAAAGTAAACATCATTACATAAAAGGGTACGGTCTTTTTTAATTTTTTTTTTAGTTTTATTCATTTCAAATGGGCCGAATCTGGCCTGTGGGCCGTAGTTTGCCCACGGCTGTTCTATTGCCTACCAACAGGAAATTTTGTTCAGAGTCCAGGCTTTCTGGAAAGTAATGTTGCAAAACATTTTAGTTTTTAACCAATTTACAACTTTTTAAAATTATAGAAATAATCCATTCTCGTTACAAAAATAAAAATGGTATAGAGTAAGCCTGCCGGCGTGGCTCAGTGGTTGAATGTCGACCTATAAACCAGGAAGGAGGTCACAGTTGGATCCCAGTCAGGGCACATGCCCGATTGTAGGGTCGATCCCCAGTAGGGGGCATGCGGGAGGCAGCTGGTCAATGATTCTCTCTCATCATTGATGTTCCTATCTCTCTCTCTCTTCTTCTCCTTTCCTCCCTGAAATCAATAAAAATATTTAAAAAATTGTGTAGAATAAAAATGATATCCCTCTACCCCATTCAGCTGTGCAATTTCATTCTCAGAAATAATTGCTTTTAACAGTTTGATTTCTATCCTTCCAGACCAGCTCTGTGCAATCGAATTTCCTGTGATGATGAAAAGGTTTCATGTATGCAGCCTAATAGGTAGCCACAGGTGGCTATGGAGCATTTGAACTGTGATTAACTGTAATATATCCTTTCAGTTCAAATCTATGAATGTTTGCAAAGTTAGAAGTGCCCGCCCAGCACTGTCGTAGGTGCTGTAGGAGAACAAATAAAGAACAGACCCCAGTTTTCAAGGACTGAATTATAAATTCAATTCTTTTCTAATTAATTTAAATTTAAAAAGCCACACGTGGCTAGTGACTACCATATGAGACAGTGCAGTCCTGGACATTCGCTGTAGTTATATAGGTATTTTGTATGCAAATGGGGTCATTCCATACGCACTTCTCTTAACCTTTTCACTTACAATGTGTTGAGGATCTTTCCCACCTCCCTCATCCTTTCTAATGTTTCATGGCATTCTTTGCATGCATCGTGTAGCAGTGAGAGGGATGGAGGGAAAGCAACACATGAAAACATGGAGACCTATTTGGCAGAGGCTATGGAGACCCGACCCAGAGGAAATGACACAAAGTCTTTAGGGCCCAGTTATTTTTTAGGGCACCCTTGTTTGAACACCAATGAATTTATTGTCTTAAAAAGCTAGGAGCATGTCTCTGAGGGAATTCCACTTAGGACAGGTATACTTTTCTGTGGAAGAGAAAGAGGATGTGATCCTTGGGGAGGAAATGATGGGCAGCCACTGGAGAAGCTCAAAGAATTAAAGGAATGTCAATGTCTGATTTTCTCGGGTGGGCATGGGCATGGAGTGCTTGGTGGTTCCAGCTTCACTTTTTGGGTCAGAGTTGATAGTGGCTGAGGACCGTGTGTGTGTGTGTGTGTGTGTGTGTGTGTGTGTGTGTGTGTGTGCATGCGCATGCGCACATGCATGTAGAATGGAGGATGGGGTTGAGGTGATCAGAGGAAGTAACAGAAGAGTTGCAAGTTAGTTCTCTGTAATATATCCTTTCAGTTCAAATCTATGAATGTTTGCAAAGTTAGAAGTGCCCGCCTAGCACTGTCCTAGGTGCTGCAGGAGAACAAATAAAGAACGGACCCCAGTTTTCAAGGCCTTTCAGTCTTACAGGTCAGCTCAGGCTGAAATGTAGAGTTGTGGGGGACAGTCCTACATGGGCAGATGGAAAAAGTAAGGTTGAACGTTGCTTCTCAAAAAGACCACTGGACCAAGATCACGTAGTCTCCTATTTTGTTCCAGGGTAAGAGCAAGTGTCAGCTCGACTCTGCTCCAATCAATGAAGCCTTTGGTTCTCATGGAAAAGACCTTAGCATTAGGGCATCTACATTCTAGCCCTCGTCAGCTGTGTGGCATTGACCAAAACATGTCAGCTAACTGGGTCTCTTCTGTTACCATGCCTTTAAAATGAAGATGTAGACTGTCTAATGTCCTTTTCAGCTCTCACCTGAAGCATAAAGCTACCATGACTTCAAGTACTTTAAATCTTTAAAACAAGGTACTGTTCCCAGGTGCTTCCTGTGCTGCCCTCTGCTGGCCATAAGACTTCACTACATTAAGAGCTATGTCTGTCTATCTATCTATCTATCTATCTATCTATCTATCTATCTATCATCTATCTATCTATCTATCTATCTATCTATCTATCTATCTATCATCTATCTCTCTGACATCTATCCACAGAAGCCGCTGTATCCTATGATTTCTGTGTATGAGCTCATGCATCCCCACGACAAGAACATGAAGTACATAATATTATTCTCATTTTCCAGAGGGGAGGTTAAGTCATTTGTTTGGTCAGTGGCAACATCTGCATTCAAATGCACGTCTGTCGAACGTCAAAGCCCATGTTCTCAATCAGTGTATTCTGGATATGAAGTTGCCAGAGTCCATCGGGAAACCTTCGGAGTCCAGCTGCATTTGGCAGGTGGCAGCTTTAGAAACTGCCAACAGGATCTCTTGAGCAGAGTCTTTGGAGGGGACAGATATTAAGATCGGGTTTCCCCCACAGGTTTGGAACAGGGTTTTTGTGCTCCTGACTGACCAGGAACACATGGTGGCTGGCTGTGAGGACGGATGTGTGTGCTGGGGCTGGTGGTAGGAAATTGTCGTGGGATGAAGAGTACTAGTCCCTTAGAGCACAGCTATATGAGGAGTGGGGTGTAGCTGATGAAAAAATGTGGCTGAGACTCCTAGTGCCTCCCACTAATGAGGTTAGCGTGGGTGTGTTAATTAGTTTTCTCAACCATGGTATCTCACTCTTTCCTTATTATCCAAGCCAAGTGTGGTTGCCCTGCCCTATGCTCATCGGCTTGTCCTCTTGAGTTCTGTCTGAATCACCCCTCCCTCCACCTCCTCCCCAGCGAACTCTTAGATGGAGGAAATGAGAAAAGTAGGTGGCTGTGCTGTGATCTAGATTTTCTTATATAAGCAAAACCAACATCAGATTGCTGAGGTAAGGGCTTTTCCGAAAAGGTTACATGTGGGCAAGATAGATCTGCTTGCAATGAGCTCAGCCGTCAGCTTGATGACATGAAGATATGTTCTCTCCTCCCCATGCGGGGCTGAGGGCCCTTGTGTGGGTGGGTGAGGAAAGTGTGGTGGAGGGGAGCACACGGCCTTGAGACACGGAATCATAGGACCGTTGGGAGGAAAAGGCAGGAGAAACTACTTCTAGGCACTTACACTGCAAGGAAATCATTGGGCCTTGATGGTTTTAGTCTATCCTGGATGACTTTCTGTATTCCTTAGTTTGGCTTCAAGCACCCTCACAAATTGCACACTTTCCCAAGGTGAGTCAGGATTTGTGCGAAAGTCTTAGTAAAGAGTGATCCCTCTGCTGTTTTCTGATGACCTGCGGGCCTTCCCAGGGGAATGCACCCTGGTGGCTGGGAGACATAGTTACAGTTCTCATTTCCTTGCCAACCAGCTGGGTGGCCTTGGACAAGTCACTTGGCCTCTCTGTGCCTCTGTTAGCCCATTGCTAAGTCACATAGAAACAGTTACCCTGCTTCTCTCAGAGGGATATCATAGGAATAGCGAGAAATTATAGCAAGATTTCGACCTTGCACAAAAATGTATTATAATGTCCTGTTATTGGTCAATAATTGCAACTTTTCTTGAATGAGATCCAAGAGTCCTCTGAGTTCTGCTCCAATGAAAACTCTGGTCAGTACCCCTTCAGCAGTATTAGTCACATTGAATTAAAACTGTGTATAATGTCTCCCATGTTAGATACCTAAAGCTCACGTCTCTTTTTATCCCCATAGGCTAGTATAGGGCAGTGGTCAGCAAACCGCGGCTCACAAGCCACATGCGGCTCTTTGGCCCCTAGAGTGTGGCTCTTCCACAAAATACCACGTGCGGGCGCTCACGTACAGTGCGATTGAAACTTCGTGGCCCGTGCGCAGAAGTCGGTTTTCGGCCTGGGTGAGTCTATTTCCAAGAAGTGGCATTAGAAGAAGTGGGGGGTGTCGGTCGGTTGGTCGGGTGATGGGAGACGCGGAGCAGGTGGGCCGCGGGATACGCAGTGCGGGGGAGGCGCGCGATTCATGCACGAGTTGAGTGAGCCAGTCAGCCAGCAGTCTCATGTGCAGTGGTTAGTGTTAGTCGTGTCCGCAAATCGCGCGCGGGTGACAAAAGTTTATTAAGTTAATTTTAGGGAACGTTGTGGAGTGAAAGAAGGTGTAGTGTCGAGGATTGAGAAAGGTATGTTGAGATGGTTTGTACATATAGAGAGGATGAACGAAAGGAGGTAGATGAAACAAGTATACAAGACGAGTGTGGATGGGAGAGTTGGAAGGGGTCAACCTCAGCGAACGTACCTCAATCAGATTGAGGATGTTTTTAGCAAAGGCCAGCTTAGGAGTGCCCTAATTAAGTTAATAACAATGTACCTACCTATAAAGTCTAAGTTTTAAAAATTTGGCTCTCAGAAGAAATTTCAGTCGTTGTACTGTTGATATTTGGCTCTGTTGACTAATGAGTGTGCTGACCCCTGGGCTAGGGGATTGAGACATTTTGAATTAGACTGAACTGAACAAGGTCCCAGGATATGTTTGCTCAGTGTTTTTGCAAAGGTACTCCCTGAGGAAAGCTAAGTCGAAAAGAACAAGTTTGTGCTTGTGGTGAGAGGTCTCCTGCTTACCACAGAGACTCTGATAAGCATCTCTCTTTATTGTTAGACACCTACCTCTTCTTCTGAATAGAAGTATTGCCACTTGGAGAATCATGATGACACCAATGACGCCCCCTAAAGCCAGCCCAGCATACAGTCCCCATTGTCCTGGAACTGAAAGAAAAGGCAAAAGGCAATCTCAAATGCACTGTGAGTGTGAGAACGCCCTACACAGATAGGGGAGGAAGCGCCTCCTGTCTCTTTCTACCTTTTCTCTCAAGGAAGACATCTGTTTTCTGCGTGTTAGAGACCAGCTTTAGACCACGGGAGAGTTCCACATCGGTTTTCTTCTCCTCATTTTTCTTACCATATTTGGCTTTCATAGTCCTGATTTCTGTAAAGATTTTTCTTTTCTATTCAAATGCGTTATTTTTACTTTAAATGCCACACCCCATGTCTAAAATCAAACTTATCTTCATTTCTCTTCAGTCAACCTTTCTGCCCAGTTTCTCTATTTTAAAATCTCGAATGTGGTTGTATCCATTTTGGTAAAGAGACATGACAGCTCCACGTGCTGTCCCCATACTCCCACACCATTCTCGTGAGAACGCTGAGAGGAACAAAGACCTACATTTGTTATTTAAAAAGAAACATACTAGTGCTTTTATTGTCTGTCCATGCAAATAACTGTATTGAACCCACTAGACCTGAACTAAAAGAAAAGCAAGTATTTTTCCTCTCCATCATTCCCATGTTTAATATTTGCTCTAGAGTACCAATCACCCAGGTCCAAAATCACAGAGCCCATTTTTATTGTCTTTCCTCCTTTACCCATGTTATCAAATCCTTCTGAACCGGAAGCAGCATTTTAGAAAATAGTGATTGAGGCCCGTTGCCTAAGTAAACAAGACATTTAGCTCAATAAGATAACAGAAGATTCTGAGCATTGACAACAGGCCAGGCCAGGCATTTCTTTCAGTACATCATCTGTTATTAATGTATTTAATCCTCACAACAATCCTACGAGGTAGGGACTGTCATTACTCCCATCTTGTGGATAAGAAGGCAGGTGTAGAGATCCTTAAGAACTAGAGCTTGGTCCAGGAGTAGATACATGGCAGCATACTGAAGGTAGATCTCTTGGAGAGTCAAAGAGAACTATGGACTTGGGTAAGTGACACCAAGGTAATGAACAGTGGGAGCCGACTTGAAGCACTGGGCTGCTACATGAAGTAATAGTGTTAAGGTTCTAAGTAGTGTGCTACCAGGTGTTAACATTAACGTGCAAGGGCAACTTCTCAGGATGACTGTGGAATAAGCCTGTTGTTGAACCTGTGATGAATTTGTTGGGAAGAAGTCTAAAGGAAGGAATAGTTAGGTAACAAATGAACAACTCGGATGTCTAAGAGTTGATTAAAGATACAGACTGAAGTCGCAGTGAGCTGAGGAAAGGCATTCCACTGAGATCCGAGTGGCTCTTCCACCTGACAGCTAACCCAAAGTTGCCTCCTGGTTTTGAAAAGGTTCTCTTTTTCTTCCTAGGCCTTTCAGACATCAAGTCCTCCCAGGGCATCTCATTGAACTGGCTTTGAAAACATCTTGATTATAGATTCCCTTCCCCAAATTAAATATGTTTTAACCCTTCTAAATACCAACTTCAGCACAGTCATATGACTTGATGAAAAAGCTAGGGGACAAACAGAGAGCTGCAGTAAGATGCCCGACTTTATGTAAAGCATGAAATTTGAGCGTGGACTCACTCCTGAGGCTGGAGTTGCTCTGTGAGCGGCTCCACTCTGGCTTACGGTTGCTGAGAACCCTCTATGCATGCAGGGGTGTGTGTGTGTGTGTGTGTGTGTGTGTGTGTGTGTGTATGAATGAGTAGGAGATTGATTATTCAGGGCTTATGTTGCCAACACCAGGGACCTGTGGAGCAACCTCCTTAATCCTATGATAAGAAGCAAAGGCAGCAGCCTATGCAGCATCATGCCTCCTGAGCCCACGGAACTGACCAGCGAATTGTTATAGTAGCCCTTCCTGTTTTGAGACTACTTCCCTCACATATTTGGGGACCTTCTAAAACTATAGTTAATTTCATTGAAATCATTTTTTCTCTCAAATTTCATTTGAGATAAAAATAAATAAAACAAACAAAGTGGTGCCCCTAAAACCAGAAAACAGCGGATGACAAAACTGTATCAGTAACACCTGTCAACTGAGCCTTTCTCCTGGGGCCGCTGCTGACAGCTCTGCCCCCCACCTACTCCTGGGAACTAACAATGACTGGGGCATATTACTGAGGCCCTGGGGACATAATACTCCAGCCTGCTCTTTCTTCTTCTTCTTTTTTTTTTTTTTGGATTTCTAAATTTAAAAAAATGTAAATTAGTTTACTTTCAATACTATTTTCTATTGGTTTCAGGTGTGCATCATGGTTAGATGGTCACATACTTTATAAAGTGTTACCTCAGATAGGGCCTGGCTGGCTTGGGGGAGGGTCCTTGGGCCGTTGGCCAGCCAGCCCCGCCCCCTGGTCAAACTCCCAGTAGAACTCCCGGTTGAGGGACAATTTGCATATTAGCCTTTTATGACATAGGATGAGTGACTATATTCCCTATCCCATACTTTGCATCCCTATGACTAGTTCGTAACTGCCAATTTGTACCTCTTAATCCCTTCACCTCTTTCACCCAGTCCCCCAAACCCCTCACCAGTCCACTCCTCTCTTTGTTTTTCAGGGTCTTAGGAGGATAAAAGTTATCTGCTACCCTTGTCCTATGACATAAATGACCAGTTTCTGCCAGTCTAGCCAGATGTGAGAGGCAACCTGGCCATAGTCCTGAGAGAGATTTCATAAGTCTTCATTTTTCTCTTAGTCTTTAGATACAAAGTGATATGAATCTGCTGAAGTATTTAAGGTACAGAACCACAGACATTTTTTTAACTTTAAAAGAACTATCATGCTTATCTCATCAGATCCCCTAAATTGGTGTTGAGAAAACTGAAACTCAGACAAGTGTACCTAGAGTCACAGAAGAAGTTCATGGCAGCTTGGTTGTTGTGGCTCAGTGGTTGAGCATTGACCTATGAACCAGGATGTCATGGTTCGATTCCCGGTCAAGGGCACATGCCTGGGTTGCAGGCTCAATCCCAAGTAGGGGCCATGCAGGAGACAGCCAATCAATGATTCTCTCTCATCACTGATGTTTTTATCTCTCTCTACCTCTCCCTTTCCCTCTGAAATCAATAAAAATATATATATTTAAAAAAGTTGATGGCAGAGCTGGATGAGAGTTATGGTTTGTGTTTTAGCAGCAGCAGGCTGGAATGCCTGGGAGACCTCATGAGGCAAAAGCACTCTTAGGTGCCAACTCATCCCTTCACCATCTTCTAACCAACACCTGCCCATTCCTACCCCCCAGTGCCCTTTTTCCTCCTCTTCCCCTGCTGTACCTTCAGCTCTCTACCTGGCCCGCCCAGCCTTGACTTCCAGGCCAATCTTACTGCCTCCGTGTCCCATTGCCTGACCATTCTGCCTCTCATTTTCCCCTTTACCTGGAACTCTGCAGCACCTGTGTTTATGTCATGCATCTTAGAACCTGAGTTGTGACATGATCTTTGCTGTGGAGACCATTTGCAGTGAAGGCGGTTGGAGCCAGACAGATGTGTTCAAAGTCTAGGTCAAGCACTTCCTAGCTCTGGGGCCCAGATAGGCTGCTCACACCTCCGGGGCCTCACTTTCCGCTTCTGCAAACGACACAGACTTGTTCTGATAAACCCAGAGCAATGACTGGGATGCAGTGCGTGGTGATAAGTGTGAACTCTTCCACTAGCTCAATTCCCCAACTAGCTGCTAGGTTCTTGGGGGCCAGAGACCATCTCTTTAGAGTGAAACCTCGACATAATGGACTAATTTGGGTGTGGGGGTGTCCGTTAAAGCTGAAAGTCTGTTGTATAATGAAGTAGGTTTTCCAAATGCATATATTAAAAAATTGACAAATTGGTTAATTTACCTATTTTTCCTTATGTAGACACATTTGTGTGATTAAAATTAAGTCTGTATGAGAAGTTGAATTTCACAGAAGAGTTTTCTATATGTATTACTGTCATTTTAAATTTATACTGAATGGGTCTGGTAAATGCGTGCACTCACCACTCACCCAAGTAAACAAATGCACAGGCTGGAGTGTGGCTCAGTGCACAGGGGCACAGCTGCCGGCAGCGTTAAAACTGCTGCAGAAAGTCATGCCACCGACAGCAGAACCAGTTCCCTGGCCGATGCGGTGTGATCCTGTGCTGAGCATTCACCGAACGTTGTTCATGAGCCGTGACTCTTGGGTGTAAATAGGTAGCCGATAGCTGTAGATATGTCACATGTCTTTCTGTTGGTGTAATGATTACAGTGTTTTTTTCTAACATATGGCCTATTCACGAAAATTTGTTAAAAATAACTGAATTAATTAAAAACAAACCCTGTAATTTCATTATAAGCAAATCTTGGTTAAAAGCATTTTAAAATTAATAGGGTGTGACTTTTCATACAAGGCATACAGCCTGGAAAATTTTGTCCATTAAGTCTGAAGTGTATTAAATCTAGGTCCCCAAACTTGAGGGCTTATGTAGCTCTCTCAGCACTTGGCACATATACTAGTAGGTCCTCGGGAACTTCTTGCTGGTTGATTGAAGAACAAGGAGGGAGGTTTGATTTCAAGTCAGAGGTTCCTTTACTGACATCCAGAGATGCTTCAGCCCCACCCAGTTGTTGCTGATGCCTTCCATTCCTGATCTGGCCAGCAGGCCCAGGTATGTTTTCACTTGGCGTTCATCTATGTGACACGACTATCTAATTATGATATTTACATGCAAACTAAATGCCAGGGGCTCTATTCCCTCAGGAACTTGGGTGAAGACAGACAAAATGCTTCCCAAAGTTTCTGTTATTTCTGGCAAAAATTTCCTTGTGGTTCCAAGTCTTTACTTCTGCAGCTCCATATGCTCTAGTCTAAGCTATTCTGGGTGCCTTCACCTGTTTACACACATACACACACACTCCAAACCAAAACCAAAACCAAAACCCTACCAGTGGTCGGCAAACTACAGCTCGGCAAACCGTGGCTCGCAAGCCACATGCAGCTCTTTGGCCACTTGAGTGTGGCTCTTCCACAAGATACCGA